CCTTAGGAAGGACATTAACTTGTTGGAAAGTGTTTGGAGGGCTACTACTAATACTAGAATGGTGTCTTGGATGGAGGGGTTGTCATACGAGGAGAGATTAATATCTGTGGAAAATGGTAGGGGTCTGATTAAGATTTTTGAGGAAATTGATAGTGTTGATGCATCATCTTTTTTCACCCTTAATGGTGAGTGGTAGAACTAAGGGACACAATTATAAATTTTGGCAGGGTAGTAGCCATCTTCAGCTAAAGCAGTTTTATTTGTCTAACAGGTTGCTTCCAGATGTTGTGGAGGCAGTAAGTTTAAATGAGTTAATAAGAACATGGTAACTATATGAATGATAAGGGCTGGTGGCTTTGAGGTTCTTTTTCTTTTTTTTTATTATAATAGTTTTAGATTAGAGAATGGGATAACCTAGATTGACAAATAGGTATCTTGTTTTCCCTAACCATAATTTTATAACTGAAGCCAGTCCCCCCCCCCCACAAAAAAAAAACTGGTCTGATTCAAGATTTCTTGTACTTGTGCGTTTTGAGTACCATGGTCACTATTCATGTTAGGCTTCTGAACTTCATTGTTTTCAGGCACCAATATTACCACCATTCTCATAACTGTCTTTTGAGTATTATTACCATTCATTTATGTATCAATTTATTTTGTTGATTTTCATGATCCTGTTCTATAATATTAACATAGCTACTCAAGTAAATGTAGCTTTTTTTAATTTTTATTTAAGTAATGTAAGTAGTGTAACACTTAGTTGTATTCCATACAAATTTACATGCAGCTTGTCCATGATAGAAAATTAGTGACTAAGACAGCATTATTAACCAATCACAAAATCAAACTTTTCCTAATCTTTTTAGCCCATTTTGGTGGATTGTTCCAACATTTCTCTTGTACAAACTACAATCTTTTTTTAAACAAAAAAAAATGGATCAAAAGATATTTTTGTGGGGGTTAAAATTTTCGAGTTCATAGTTAGGGAACTTACCAGTGATTTTGGTTGAGGATTGGAGTCAACTATGATGCTGTTTTGAGTAAGGGATTTTTCCAGGGTGCTAGTCATTTGTCAGGCAACACAAGGGTTTAACTTGGTCTTGCAAGATAGTTTTTAGTTGTCTTGGATGACCATTAAAAGTCGAGCCCTGACAATAGGAATGTAGTCAGGGGAGAGTGGGTGATCACTCTTGGCACCTGTAAATTTAATCAACAGAATTATATGTATTGGCAGCCTGTCTGAGAGTATTGATATTGTGTTGCAAAAAATAATTATTCATTAAGAACTGAATCAGTAAAGTGAAACTATTTCTGATCTGTTTGGCTCATATGGTAAAATTTGCAGACTTTCAGAAAAATTCTAACATTGAAATGTCATTTAGATACTGTTGAAAAATATTTTTTATGTGATGGACTGAAAGTTTATTGTATGCCAGATCTAATTGTAATTTTGGGCATTAATGCAGGCAGATACTGTTATTTTATTGAAACTTTTACCTGCCTTTGGGGCTGTGTGGTCATTTACATTTTTATCCCATAGTATAAAAGGATGAATTTATCTGATATTTATTTATATACTTTTGAAAAATTAGCATTCAAAACTTCTATAAAATGTTTGCTACATAGATGGCTGTTGTCTGATCGTTCCCAGTCTTTTTGATTAACAGCTGAAATTCATAGATTATGTCTGTCTTTTGGAAAATGATAGAAAGCAAGACTGGACTTTCTTTCCATGCATATTGCTACATCCAACTGCACAACAAGCAGTTACCATGATGGTATCTGATGAAGTCAAGGCATTTAGTCATTTAAGATGAGTAAAGTTCAGACTGCTAAGCCTGGAGTAAACACGTGATAGCTTGACATCTACAGTGGCTGAGACTCCTGGATTTCCCAGCTTGTGATGTCACATGCAAAACCTTAATACTACACAAATACATATAGTAGCTTAATCACTGCATTTCAGTTTTTTTTTTAGCATTTTGTTGGTTTTAAAGAACTTGAAATTAGTTTTACATTACATTTGTATATATCTGCATTTCTTTACAACGTAAAGTAAAATTTGATGTACATGGCAAATGTGTGTTTTATTGTGTTGATTCAACTTGAATGGTACAAAACAAAATACTTCATAAGGAAAGTGATACGTCATAGTAAAGTATTTTACTTGTTCTAAGCAACATGTATTCAGTATTAGAAATTGAACTGAATTCCCTCCACATGTTGACAACAAATATTTTATATGCACATTTCCAATTACAATTGTATGTAATAAAATAATGTATTATCAGTCTTTGGTTTAATCTTTATCTTGCATGCTGTCTTTGTCAAGGTGTATTAATAAGTGTCAATGCTGCACAGATTGACAGGTGGCAGTAAATCATTAAGCTGATACTAGATGTACTCACATAGGGGCCCCAAAAATGTTCTCTTTCAAGAGTAAATAAAACCAAAATTAAGAGTAACAGCTAATTTTCTGGCTTTTGAAGTTTATATGTCATGCTTTATTGTAGCCTACAGAGTGCATAATTCTTGCAATTCATGGCATGCACATGTTTTACTAGTGTCACGGCAGTACAAGTTGCAATGTTAAACACATCACTTTTCTGACATCATTTTAATGTCTATACAGTGTATAGTGGTGCAAGTGGTTAAAACGGGTGACCCCTTCAGACAGCCTTTGGCTTCCTTTTGGGGAAATAAATACAACGAGTGATCACACAGACTCAACTAAATTATTTCCTTAACCCCCCCCCCCCCCCAAAAAAAAAAACAACAAAAAAACATAAAAACCTAAAGTATCTCTTCTCCCCTCCTATGGTTGCTAGCTTGGGACAGTATACAAATGCCAAAAGTTTCATTTATTCATGATTAAGATGTTTAAATGTTCTCTTCTACCCCCTTTAAAATAAATCAGTATGAATCTTTACCTTTGTATGTAAATATTTAGAAAAGCTTATAAAAATGTTAACATTCTGGGAAATAATAATAAAAAAAAAACAATAGTGCAAGCTTTAGTTGGGTTATGGTGGCTTTAACAGCTGACCAATCATGATTCAAGAAGGTTGTGATATTAATCAATGGAAAAGTTGAGTCCACCTCAACAAACAATTAATTCTCATGTGACTTATTTTTTTCATATTTAGTACATTATGCTCTTTACCATTTTTTTCTCCAGAATAATAGTCAATTATTCAGAATTCAATGAGTTTCTGGGTTTTTGTAATTAAATTTTAGTGATCTTTTGTGCTAATTCTTTCATAAAGACTACTTTTTTCCAGCAATGATTGACATGACAAATACTTAAGAACAAATTTATATATATATTTTCATGATTTGTCATAAGTTTTTAAAAATTGCTGAATCCCAATTTATTATCTTGAACTACTAAGTTTACAGTAATACAATGCAGTACAATCACTTCATTTGTCAATGCTGCAAATCTTTGCTTTCACCACAATATCTTGTATTGAGACTTGGTTAATTTCAATGTATGCCACTGTTTTATTTAAAATCTGTTGGTGAGTTTAAGATGTTTTGTCCTATAATACATTTATATGGGAGGTGATTAATTTGAAAGGTGTATTAATGTGAAATGTGCATCTCCCTTAGGAAATATACAGAGGTAGGATATATATACTTATCCATAAGTTTTAAAATTCTTCTACCGGTTACTTCCTTAATTCACACATTACAAGTTTTTTTAGCTTAAATGACTTAATGATGGTTTCTGTTAACATTATAAACTTTTTATTATTATTATTATAGACCACCATGCAAATTTTTGTGAAGACCCTCACTGGAAAAACCATCACTTTGGAAGTGGAGCCAAGTGACACAATAGAGAATGTAAAAGCAAAGATCCAAGACAAGGAAGGCATCCCACCTGACCAACAGAGACTGATCTTTGCTGGTAAACAACTGGAGGATGGTCGAACACTTTCTGACTACAACATCCAAAAAGAATCTACCCTACATCTGGTTCCGAGGCTGAGGGGAGGGATGCAAATTTTTGTGAAGACCCTCACTGGAAAAACCATCACTTTGGAAGTGGAGCCAAGTGACACAATAGAGAATGTAAAAGCAAAGATCCAAGACAAGGAAGGCATCCCACCTGACCAACAGAGACTGATCTTTGCTGGTAAACAACTAGAGGATGGACGTACACTCTCAGATTACAACATTCAAAAGGAGTCTACTTTGCATCTTGTCTTAAGACTGCGTGGTGGATCAAATTAAGGATAAATTCCAGAATCCTGTATGGAAACGTATTCTAACAATTGAATATACCCACTTAAAAAGAATTTAAAGCTGTAATCTTAAAGTTTGAATCATAAATTCATTAAGTATTTGAGCTTATCACATGTTTTATGGTTTGATATTTTATTTAGATTTAAATGCACTTTTATTATAATAGCTTTTTTAATTCAAATGTCAATTTGCAGTCTTGCAGTGGATAATGAAAATTGTTCATTTTTTTGTATAGTTCTTTTGCAATCAATAAAGTAGTTCAGCATCTGTATAAACACAGATTTTCAGTTTCGTGAAGGTTACTCGTAAGTAAAAAAATTAATATTAGAAAGAATTATGGACACTGAATAGCATGCAAATATGGAATTGCTCCCCATCTGTGATATGAAATCAAACTGCGCTAATTTACAGTCGTTTGTTAATAGTTTTTACTGTGGTTAGCAGTCTTATTACAAGCAGTTGAATGGTTAATGTACTGTGTCTCCAGGGGCAAATACCACATAAAAAATTACAAGTTTTGGTTGGTAAAAGCTACTGTCAAAATTCAGTGTTTCAGTAGAAGCTACATACAAGCAATGGGTATGTGAATCACCTATTATTAATAGAGGGATCTATTTAAAGAGTGGGATGCATAATTGGTGTTGGATGTGCCTGATTCCATACATTTGTTTCAAAGGTCAATAACTCTGAATAAGAATAAATGAAAATCTGTTTACTTCTCACGATATATACCTTTTGTACCAAAGGCAGCGTGGTCTCTCCCCCCCCCCCCAAATAACAACAATAAAAAATGCTTAAAGTGCCCGTTTTTGAAATGAGACTGACATTTTAATATCCTCTGCAGTTAGATGTGTACTTGATATTGCCACATACAATCATGACGGGTCATTTCCATGATTTTGCTGAGGTAAATGATCTTATCCAAGGGGCATTGAATTAACACGTATATTAAGTATGTAGAGATAAACATATAAATCCAAATGGTTTCCTCCTCAAACCATGTTTTGAGAGCTGCTAAGATGTTTATTTTAATTTGGCATACAGAGTTTCGAGAGCTATCACATAATCGTAAATCAACGTAAAGCATGTATAGTTTCCAGCTCCTTCACACCACAGGCTTAAGAATCTGGAAAATTTTTATAGCTAACCCTCCCTGTATGTTATTTATTTATTATCTTTTGAGTCTTAAAGCGCACAAAACCTTTCTGTTCAGGTTTTCCAATTACTTTATTGTATACCAAGTTCCTGCAACAGCCTTGTTTGATACATGTATGGAATTTTAGCTGGTAAATAAGGGGGGTGGGGATGTGGGCACCACGCCATTACAAATAATAATGATTTACAGATAGTGAATATCACCTTTGGGTTACTCTTTTACCAACGAAAAGTGGGATTGACAGTAACACCCTCACAGTTGAAAGAGTGAACATGCTTGGTGACGGGAATCGAAACCGTAACTCACAGATTGCAAGTCGAGCGCTCTAACCACCAGGCCTGATATGTTAAGTAGCGCACCAACAAATCTTAAACCTATACAATACATAATCTGTAGTTGTTTTTTATATCATTAAAGGGAATACTGTTCAAAATGGAGAACAGTTTACCGTGGAAATTATGATGCCTCAATCTTACAGTACTTGCCAAACTAATCATCAGATTTACAATTCTTTATGTGATATTGATCTCTTACCCGAAACTCTAGATACCCATAAGAAACTGGAAGTGTATTGACCATCTTGATTTCCAAGGATGTAGTAGCTCTGGCAAGCTTGCATGCTACTCCTGTAACTATAACTATTTTTTACTTCTTAATTAGGGATGGCTAACGCAGATAGTCTTCGAGTAGCTTTTCGCGAAATCGAGCAAACAAGAAGGTCCACAACTTTTTGTATGAATCAATTGTAGATACATGAATGTAGATTTGCGTACACGATGTATAGGGCCCGGCATGGCCAGGTGGTTGGGACGCTCGACTCGCAATCTGCGGGTCGCGAGTTCACATCCCCGTCCCACCAAACATGCTCGCCCTTTCAGCCGTGGGGGTGTTATAATGTGACGGTCAATCCCACTATTCGTTGGTAAAAGAGTTGGCGGTGGGTGGTGATGACTAGCTGCCTTTCCTCTAGTCTTACACTGCTAAATTAGGGACGGCTAGCGCAGGTAGCCCTCGTGTAGCTTTGCGCGAAATTCAAAACAAACAAAAACACGATGTATATAGTTTGTTTTTAGCACAAGGCTACATAATATGCTACTCCATTCTGTCTACTGCAGGGAATCGAATCCCAGATTTTATGGGAACTTACTGCTGACTACGTTTATTGTACAGGAATGATTGACCTTGTGCATGTATGTTGCTTCGTTTTTTAATAAATTTTGCTCAGGAAATTCACACTAATTTATATTCAATATTGAAAAATTAGTGTATTTTTCCATAGGGTCTCCTGGTAAGTCCGAGGGCTTATAACATCAAAATTGAGGTTTTGGTCCCTGAAGTTGGCATAGCTCAGATAGTATATTCTATAGCTTTGTGTTCGTTATTTATATCTTTATAAATACCTTCTTTTTTTTTCTGAAAACAACAACGCTTACTACTAGGGGTTGAGTGGTGTAAAGTTATCAGGTAGAGCCCAGTTTCACAGCCTCTATAATGCGGGGGACGCCAGAATATCTTATTTCGATTATTTGATGACGTAACAGTTTACACAGAAAAGTAACTCAAATGTAGAAGAATGACATGTCGAAAAGTGGGCCCGCATAAATGATATGAATTGATGAAATTGTGATAACTTGTATTTAAATTTACATATGTCCTTGGACATTCTATAAGAGGAACGTTTTTACACACACACACACACAACACGAAAGGCGCTCCGGTTACTTTGAAATGTTTTCGATTAAATTTTTCAACAAAGAACTATGACAAATATATTGTCTAACAAATGAACTGCATTTTGGGGGTAAATAAATATATATAAATAGTAAGATAAGTTGGGTTAACAGATTGTTTATTCGAGATGTGTATGTTTGTATAAAATTAATTACGTTTAGACATCGTTCACTTATTACTTAAAATTTAATTTATTTATAATAATTTAGTTTAAATGACAATTACTTGAGCCTTAGTTCCGGTACAGATAATTAAAAATATTACTTTCATTTCTGTCACTTGTACCATATGGAATGTAAAGATTACTGTAAGGTTGAACTAACTATGTAGAAGTGGCCAGTGATTCTTTACACTGGCAAATCAGGTGATACCCCAACAGTATAACTCTTAATTATATATTACACATTTTAGTATGTTGGGATACGTAAAGACAAACTGTTTAGGACTAGAAATAAAATTCCTTTGTGATTTTAAATAGAAAATAAAAACACAAAATTCCGGACAATTTTAATTACTTTCACTAGGGGCGTCATGCACCAAAATATTTTTGGGAGGCACAGTCAAAAAACGGAATACTTTTGTTATCAGTTGTGAGTTAATAATAATAATAGTTGAGGTGCTTTTTACTTTTCATATTATTAAGTTTCTCAATGGTTTCTAATAAAAACAAATATTTCGAACACATTTGATTAAGTATTTATACATAAGTTTGTGCTTATTGGGAAGGGGGATGACGTACTGCACGAGTCCAATGACTTTCGCCTAAAACAACCGAAAGACACTAAACTTGCCTAATAATATCCTGAAGTCATCAATATAAATGTTGACAACAAGTTTACAATGCACTCAGGTGCTTGTGTTTCCAGAAACAGTGATAAGTACAAGTAATTATACATATTACTTATATTTTTTCCCTACAAACAAGCAAATAGAAATACACATTACCACGCGAGTACGCAGGGTCGGTTCGACCGAACCCCCTCTTTTTGTGATGTAAAGAAATTATGCTTATATAGTTATATTTGATCTCGCATATTCGAACCCCCCTTTTAAACATTCTGCGTACTGGCTTGATTATAATATTTTTTTTAACATTGCTTACATGTGTTACACACAAACTAATAGTCGCTGAAAGTGCTAATAAATTTGTCGTTTTCTTTTGGTTAATTAATATATATAACAATAACAAAATCACTGAGTTCTCTTAAGCTAGAAACGTAAGCTGCATATCTATATTACCAGGCATAGCTGTAAGTCATTCGTGAATATTGTCTCATCAGAGATTGCTTACGCTCAAGAATGCAATCTATTTGTTTCTTTATTGAACTTCGCTCAAAGCTACTCAAGAGCTATCGGCGTTAGCCATCCCTAACTTAGAAGTGATAAAATAAAGAAAAAGCAGATAGTTAACCTGACCACTGCCAGCTCTTGAGTTACTCTTTAATAACGAATAGTGGAATTGATCGTCACGTTATAACACCCCCACGGCAGAAAGGGCAAGCATGTTCGGTGAGGAGTTTCGATCTTGCGAGTCGAGCGCCCTAATTCCTCAGGCCATTTAAAGCTTTTCTCAAGCAGAAAAACGTGTAATTATTTGTCCCTATTTGTATTATAAATTAAAGAAAGAAAATGTGTCTTATTATGTTGGTAAACATGTATGGAAAAAATATAAATTATAATAACCAGATGTTACTTTTACGTATATAATACGTGAAAGTATGAATAAGTATACACAAAGACCTAAACTAACAGTTGATTCAGACATGAAATAAAACCAAAGAAAAAGAGATGTTGGCATTTTCAACCTTAATAGTGCCTTTTGCACCACATGAGTTAGGAGGTCATGTCAGAGACTCCCAGATTCAAACACAATTTCGGAGGGTGAGCAGAATGGGCACCAGCTCAAAGGGGGTCTCAAATTTAGACACTTGTTTTTGCATTTGTTAAGTTTCGCGACTTGATTTTATGTACCTCCCTGTCAGACCAAAATGTATCACACACCCTCAGCTTAGAACTGCAAATTATGTATAAAAAATAAACATATTTCACTTTTCTTTTGGGCTAATCATTGTTTTATTTCGTTTTCATGTGTTATCATTATTTATTTTAGCTAGGGGTCTCGAAAGATAGAAGTGGCCCGAGCCTCTCTGAACCTTTGAGAGGGCCTGGACACAACTGTCCCTAATTTAGGACTGCTGACTAGATTAAGGATACTAATCAGCAACATGTAATTTGTGTATACTTTCTGAAGTATCTGTAAAAGGTTAAAGAAAATTTTAATTTTATTAGTCTTATCAATATACTTTTATGCTCAGATCTTGGAATTTCAGATTTATGTTTCAGTTTGTTTTGTCTTTTACCTCGATCTGTTGTTGCACTACAGTTACAGTATAATTCACGTACTGCTTAAATTCACGTTTAGAAGTAATTCAAGTATTGCTGCAGTGAAATGAATCGCACTTGAGAAAGGAGTGACAAAAATGCACCAACTCTTAGAATCTTATCTAACAATTGCTTGTGTGCTATGTGCAAAAGTTTATGCTATAATGAACATTTAATAGAAATAATGCTAACAAGATATAACCGTTTTTCGATGTTATTTAGGTAGGGGTGGAAGAAAACATTTATTTTAAAGTTAATTTTAAAATATTTATTAGTAATTTGCTTTAAAGGAAATATAACTTGAATAGTATGAGCCAAAATTATTTGACTATTCTTTGATATATATAAAAGTAGAAGTCCCCGGGTGGGACAATGGTAAGCTTACGAACTTACGATGCTAAAATCCCGGTGTTGCGTCAGCGAGGTCACGTGACTAGTGTCACGCCACCTATTTTCTAGAAATATCCCGTTCCTTCGTGAATGCCCTAGCATTTACTAGATATATGTTAGA